ATTAAAGTCAGAAGTAAAATGTATAATATCTACCTAATTATTCAGAAAATCTTAAATAAATAAGAAGTAGCAAAAAACTTGGGAGCATTACATATATTACCACAGGTAAAAGAATATGTATATTATGACATACTTCCAACAGGAAGATATTTATCTCAAATTCTTAATTTTGGATCCTCCTGAAATTGTGTTTCTGTACAACACAGAAAGTGATATCAACAAAATTAATAATGGTTAAACATAGTGATTATATTTTACTTTTAAAATGCTAAAACGGATAGTTTAAGAAGATTAGAATTCATCTAGCATAATTTGTATAAACCTTAATACACCTTCAGTACACTCACACATCCAAGCTGAACATGTTCCACATCCAAGCTGAATTGTAACGAATTATAGCCCAGAATGTTTTTATACAAAGCAAGAAATTTAAATATCCCCAATAAAACAGATCTACATATTTTTTTCAAAATTCCATTTTTATTTTTATAGTTTATAATATTATATATTTATTGCATCCTCATGTAGGATGCTTGTAGAAAAATGAATATAAGCTCACATAATTATAGAAGTATGCAACATCTTAATGAAGCAGTGAAGTGTTCCCTAAAACACTTCATAAAATGCATATGCATTAAAAAGTGCCGTGGTTTGGCTATTGCAACTCACTGTCACGACGTCCCTGCGAACGCTGCTCGTACTAACTGCCCGGAGGTCAACAGGTTCAAAGTAGAAACGGAAGCGCTGACTCATCTCCCCTACTCCGTCGAAGTGAGTGTTTACACTGTCAAAGTAATCATAACGAGCGACTCGCTCCGAGCTGCTCTGACAGGTATCTGACAGTCTGCGTCTAACCTGCTACTACGTATGTATAAGTGTCCTGTATGAAGGATAGTGACGTCTAAAGTGCGTCTAAAAGTCGTTTAGCGTAAAAAAACGTAAAACGTTTAGCTTTAGATGGATTTGAATGGGTTTGTTGTAAGAAAGGTTCAGGTGGTCACAATGTAAAGCGTTCGATCAGAAAGAGTACCTGGTTTGAAAAACCATTAGAGTATGATTGATATTTTGATTTTTAAGTGGCTCTGGGTTTACGAAGCGAACTCGAAAATCATGGTAAGTGAATACAGTCAAAAGTCATTAATTCGGACACCCATAATCCGAAATGATCTATAATCTCGACCTACAAACTATAATCTCGAAGCTACAAACTTTCTGCGCATACATCGCATTGACGCATGCGCGTAACACCTTTACGGCTGCGAATATGCATGTGCGCAGGCCCGAAATATGTTTACACATGCGCGTTTAATGTATAACGGACGGTATAAGCTAAGCTAAAATTATCTAATTCAGTTAATGTTACAGATTGTGTTGTTCCTTAATCTTCGAATTGGATCCGGCTTATTATTTTTTGCAGACTGTTAGAGCAATTTTATAAAAGTAAGCTTGAACTTTCAATTATGTCAAATAGAATTTACGATATATATTTACTAATATGTAAAGGATCTACAAAGCGAAAGTATGTTTCAAAGTCCATTAACCCAAAAGTGGAATTGCTGCAAAAAATGGATGAAGGCATATCCTTTGTTTATCTAACCATTCCGAAATCTGTTTATCAATTTCACGCTGCTCTGCGGCGGGGGATGCCGCGGCGCACAATGAATTGGAAGTTGATCTGTCAGCACTATCCTTATCTTCAGGGCAGATGTTTTTATTTTATTTGGCTTATAATTCCTTACTAAATGTAGTATTTCATCTCGATATACTCCGTCTTTCATATGATTTAAATCAAATTCCTTGTCATTATAATTTGCTTCCGATAGCGAAGAAAGTAAAGTAAACAAATAAATAGTATTAAGCTTTTTTTTTTTTTTTTTTGTAAATTTTGATACCCTTTAGATCATAATTGTTCTTTATTTCATAAATTACGGTTTCATATTTTTAATGTTATAATTTCTGCATGCCATCTTACCAGATTTAAACTGATGATCTATAATCCGGAATCGCTGAAGTCCCGACGAGTCCGGATTAATGACTTTTGACTGTATTTGCTTTTGGTAGTGCTGAAATGTATAACATGTTTTTCCTTTTTTATGTTATTTTATTGTTTGGTTTAAAATGTATTTGAGATTATGTATTTTTGTTTGCCTATATTGTAGAATTTGGTGCTCCTTTGACTTTTTAAGTGAAAATATATTGATGTGTACATGGATAAAGTAAAGGGAGTGCGCAATGCAAGTTTGTGCAATTCTGGGATTTTTCTTTAAGTGAAAATAGGTCGACATGTACACGGATAAAGTTAAAAGAGTGTGTAATGCCATTTTTGTGCAATTCGGGGATTTTTTTTTTTTTTAAGTGAAAATAAGTCTATTTAACACATATCGAAAGTTTGTGCAATTGTTTGTCTTGTTATTTTGGCGATTTTTGCACCAAAAATTGCCGCTACACAAAGGTAAAATAACAAATCAAAGAATTAGACAAAATCGGTATCCATGTACCGCCAAAAATCGCCAAGGTATACCCTAAAATATACTTTTACCTAGAACACTTTTATGTCTCTCTCTAATTAATTATTTTTTTTTTTTAACTTTTTAGCCTCAGTTACATCTTCTATATGTATTTTGGCAAAGAATAATCAGTACTTCTCTGTGAATGTGTGTGTGGGGGGGTTGTTGCTTACGCTCAGTTGTCTGACGTAGTCGGCCCAAGCTCACGAAATTCCTCGTGCCAAGGGGCACAACATTATGCATGTTTTTGGCAGCAGCATTGAGCATCTAACAGGCGACAGTGCGATTTGGCTCAATTCTACCACCAATTTTGATGGAGAGCCGCTAGGGGGCACGTCCGAGAGTCTTCCACCAAACCACATGAGAGGACTTTCAGCTCGCCACATACTTAGAGTGCTGCCAAGCCGCACCAACACTATACATTTACAAACATCCATACCTTCTCCTGGATTCGAACCTAGGCCCTGCGGCACGGCAGTCAGCACTGCTAACCACTATACCGGCTGAGCGGCTAAAAATGTTGTTGCCTACGCTCACATGTCTGATGTAGCCCAAGTCCACGGAATTCCTGGTGACAAGGAGCCCAAAATTACGCCTGTCATTGGCTACAGCCTTGAGCAACTAACAGGTGAAAGTGCGATTTGGCCCAGTTCTGCCCCCTGTTTTGATGGAGAGCAGCCTGGGGGGACAGTGTCCGAGGGTCTCCCCTTCCATCAAACCACAGGAGAGGACTTTGGCTCGCCGCATGTGAATGAGGTGCCTCTTAGTACTAAACACAACACAAACTAATGATGCAAAATCTAATTAGATGGTGACTCTAATGATACACATAAAGCTTCATGAAAAAATGAACTTGTAACATTAACAGTAATGTATTGTATAATATAATATATGTATAATTAATGCAGGTTGAGTATATGACTACATTGGTGATTTTTAGCTTGATGCACTTTTTGGACAGTTGTGTTTCTGGTAATCCAGCAAATTCTGGAATACTCCATTTCAACAACCCTGTTGTAGTTCCTTTTAAATTGAAAGATGCCATTTTCTTCATTGAAGCAGCATACAGGAAGTTTATTGAAGGATGCCATTTTCTTCATTGAAGCAGCATACAGGAAGTTTATTCTCCACTGGATGTAAATTGATGGCACTGATTTCATTTCATTTTATACTGAATTTTATATAATATCTCTATATGATAGATTCTCTTTAAAGCATTATTGAAATGTCTCAAGGAATATTAGAGGGGGAATTTAAAGTTTCAATCTTCGAATAGGAAAATGACTTTAGGAAAACTTGGCTGTTTATTTTTCATGTATGACAGAATGAGCAGGTGTTTTAGGAATTTTTAAAGGAAGCAGGGTTAATAAAAGATGAATTTGTATGTGAAAAGTCTGATTCTAAAATAAAATTAAGTCAAGGTCAAAAATTTTTGGGGTACTTTTCCGTTTTGCCGGCGCAGGCGATAAAGTCGCCAATAATGGTACAACTGATGCCAAACGGAATATCTTCGCTGGTAACCTTTTTACACCTCATTTTCAAAACAAGTCGCAGCCATTTCTTATCAGATTGATTGTTTCTTTCAATACTGGCATACAACTACATTGAATTTTTACCAGATAGTTCAATTTTATGCCCTAAGGCCACTCGCGGTAATTAAGTTAATCACACCGCTCACCCAAAGGTGAAAATATAGAAAAGGAAAAGTCAAGGGTTAAATTCATCAATTCTAATGAGAATGCACTATCGAAATAAAGCACTGCGGTTTTACATTAGCTATTCATATGAATTGAAGTAATTCTTGCATTTAAACTTGTATTAAAAATTAAGATTTAACTTGAAATTAATGTAGATAATTACTGAGAGAATTAGATTTTTGTAGCATAGTTTACATGAGATGAGATCACTTGGAGTCACGTGATATGAATCGGCGAATTAGGCTTTTGAACTATGAAAGCATAGTAAATTCTTAAACTAATGTTATTTTACAAATTTATTGTCTTTATGTATTGACTTTTTACAAAATTTTAAACGATATTAAAATGTTTATCCCTTTAAAATTAAAAATTCTTGGAACTAACAATTGTTAACTTTTTTTATGCATATACTGTGTATTGCCACGTATAAAGCCTACTTGACGAGATTTGCGCCGGCGAAACGGAAAAGTACCATTTTTTGTTTGTTTTGTAGGAAATTTATGGCAGGGAAGGAATGTAGGACTTAAAGTCAGTTTGGCGTGGCTCATGGTTTTCTCATAATAAGTTGAGGATGGAAAAAATATTGTTCATAACATATAAAGTGACCAGAGGGACAAAAACTAGGGCTATTCAGGGAGAGATCTTTTTGACTTCAAATGCATTAGTGGATTGGAGGCAGTTTATAACCGGAAGTATTTTAATTATATAGAGTTGTTTGTCATCGGAAAAAGTAGGTGATACAGTCAAAAGTCTTTAATCTGGACATACGTAATCCGGAATGATCTATAATCCGGACCTCAAAGCTACAAACTTTCTGCGCATGCGTAAACGCATTACCTCAAAGCTAAAAACTTTCTGCACATGCATAAGTGCATAATGCGTTTACACATGCGCATTTAATGTATAACGGACGGTATAAGCTAAGCTAAAATTATCTAGTTCAGTTCATGTTGCAGATTGCGTTCTTCCTTAGTCTTCTAATTGGATCCGGCATATTATTTTTTGCAGACTGTTAGAGCAATTTTATAGAAGTAAGCTTGAACTTTCGATGTCAAAAAGAATTTCTGATTCTGGAGCTGCCAAAGGATTTAAAAAGCGAAAGCATGTTTCGATATCCATCAAACAAAAAGTGGAATTGCTTCAAAACATGGATAAAGGCATATCCTTTGTTTCTCTAACCATTACGAAATCTGTATGTCAATTTCATACTGCTCTGCGGGGGGGGGGGACGTCGCGGCGCGCATTGAACTGGAAGTTAATCTGTCAGCACTATCCTTATCTTCAAGGCAGATGTTTTTATTTTATTCGGCTAATAATTCCCTTATTAAATGTAGTATTTCATCTCGATGTACTCCGTCTTTGATATGATTTAAATCAAATTTCTCATCATTACAAATATCACGAACACACATCAAATAGTTTTCTGGTTGCAATTTTGTAATTTCGACTATGCGTAATGCATGCTTTACGCATGCGCGCGTTGAAAGAAATGTTTAATAAAGTAAACAACTATATATTAAAAATTTTTATACCCTTTAGATCATAATTGCTCTTTATTTCATAAATTACGGTTTCATATTTTTAATTTTGTAATTTCTGCATGCCATCTTACCAGATTTAAACTGATAATCTATAATCAGGAGTCGCCGAAGTCCCGACGAGTCCAGATTAAAGACTTTTGACTGTATTTATAATGACGAGGAATTTGATTTAAATCATATCCATATCATACATTTAGTAAGGAATTATATGCCGAATAAAATAAAACCATCTACCCTGAACATACTGCATTGCGCCCCGCAACATGTCCCCTTCCCCCCCCCGCAGAGCAGCGTGAAATTGATAAACAAATTTCGGAATGGTTAGAGAAACAGAGGATATGCCTTTATCTATTTTTTGCAGCAATTCCACTTTTTGTTTGATGGACATCGAAACATGCTTTCGCTTTGTAGATCCTTTGGCAGCTCCAGAATCGGAAATTCTTTTTCACATAATTGAAAGTTCAAGCTTATTTTTATAAAATTGCTGTAACAGTTTTCAAAAAATAATAAGCCGGATCCAATTCGAAAATTAAGGAACAACGCAATCTGCAACATTAACTGAAATAGATAATTTTAGCTTATCTTATACCATCCGTTATACATTAAACGCGCATGCGTAAAGTTATTATGCGTTTACGCATCCGCAGAAAATTTGTAGCTTTGAGGTCCGGATTATAGATCATTTCGGATTATGGACTTCCAGATTAAAGACTTTTGATTGTATTATAGACCAGGGGTTCTCAACCACTGGTGGTATGCGAGAGACAAATAGGTGGTACGCAAAGAAACAAAGTATTTTTAACTATTACATTCAAAAATTAAAACTCCAACATCCTGATTGAGTTTTTTCTGTAACATTCGTAAATTTGTGCGATCTGAGCTTTGTTCAAGTGTGGTGGTGATAGTGTTACTTTGTGCAGTGGTGGTACTAAAGGTTTTCAGTTTTTGTTTAGATGGCACGCGTTAGGCAAAAGGTTGAGAACCGCTGGTCTGGACGAAAGCTGTATGTTTTAAAGCAAAGCAGCTTTGCTGTAGGCCAGCGGTTCTCAACCTTTTGACTAACGTGTACCATCTAAATAAAAACTGAAAAACTTTAGCACCACCACTGCATTTTACAATGATTATTTTTCAATTTCTCAAAAGAAATATTAAATATAACACGTAAGTTAATAATTTACAACTTCTGGCCATTAATGTATATTATGTGCACTGCTAAAAAAAAGAAGAAGAAAAAAAAAAAAAAAAAAAAAAAAAAAATGGGACAGTGCTATATCTCCCGTTCTACTGGGCCGATTGACAAAATGCGTTTTTCATGTCTCAAAAGCGCGACTTAGGATATGTATTAGATTTATATATAGCACTATTCTAACATAGGTATTTTTACACAAAATCGGACCTTTTTCTGAAATAACATACCAATTTTTTTCCATATTTCGATTCTACGACTCAAATTATGCCAGAATACCAAGTTTCGTAAAATTCGTACGAGTAGTTTTAAAATATTAGCTCTCAAAATTTTAGCTCCTCAATATTAATTGAATTTGGCAAATATTTATTAATATCTCTTTTTTTATTAAACATTTTTGATTTTTTCTCTCACATTTCGAAATTTAGGTTCATTCCAAATAAAATTTACCCATTTTTTGTGTTTTATTTTTTTTAATTTCTATTTTTAAATAATTTTTATAATTTTTTCGAAAAAAATTTTGAATTATAACCTGTAGAATTTTTACCATCATCTTAAAGTAGGTGTATTTTAAGCATATCTGCAAAAAATTAGACTTTTTTATTCAAAATTTTCTAAGATATACACGAATTTACATATTTCGCGTTTTGAAATTTGGCATTTTTTTTTTTTTTTTGAGCGATAATAACGCCAAATGTGGTCTATGGATTTTGTTACAGTGAATTGCCACAGTTATTTTTAACCTTAAATTCAAGTAAAAATTTTACGGAGAATTAATAATATGACATTTTTTCCCTCAATGATGCGTAATAAATATTATTATATTATATGAAAAGCTATTTTTTTAAATTATAGATATTATTCAAATTTTTAACTATTTTTTTTAAATTCTCTCTATCTTTTTTTTTTTTTTTTTTTTTTTTTTTTAAAGAGTAAATTTTTAACTTCGGCGTTTTATCGTCTGCTACTTTACTTCGTTTAAACCGAATTCTGTTGCTTTTGAAGTGGCTGAAAGCGCGGCTGATACTATCATCCATATTTTTAAAGCACAGTATATTTTTATAGAAACATAAGATTTAGAATAATCATTTTATAAAAGTCAAATTATGATATAAACATACAACCCTCTAAAGACTGAATTAATGGAAGTTCAATGGTTATGTAGAAATGATCTGCAGCTACTTAATGGCTGGATAAGTCAGCAGATTCTGTGGACAAGTAAGAATAATTATATAAATGACACCCAACATTCTGGATTCAATTCACAACGAGCATACGATGTTTATTAACCCCTTGGATACGGATTTTTTTGAGGAAATATTTGCATGTGGAACGGATATAATTTTTGGTTGCAATTCATCAATAGCTACTTCACTATCAGGAGTATAAAGGTAACAAAATTTATTATTTAGGTAATCCGCTATATTTCTAATCTTTCTTATTCTGTCATCTTTATTTTCTTTTTCATTATCCGTAAAATGTAGAAAGCTTGAAATATCAAAAAACCTATCGCGTGCCACAGTGCTGGCAAAAATTGGGGTATTTATTGCATATCTTTTTGATCAATACATACGCATTTTTGGCTTCTTCATTTGCAACATCAAGATGCATAATGCAATATAAGCTGTCATTTCATCAGAATTTACAGGAAACCACTTTTTTTCTTTTTTTCTTTCTTTTTTTTTTTTCTTTTTTTTTTTGTTACACAACCTTTTTTTTTCTATCCCTTGTATGGCATATTTATTCGTCTCTCCTACTATAGTGTCCCAAAAATCTTCATTCAAGACTTCTTTCAAAACATCTAAAGGCACAGGATTACCACCTAGTCTACGCAGGCAAGGATTAATTTCAGATATTTCAAAAAGACTTTTTATATCGGCTACATTTTCATCTTCTTCCCAAGTCCATTCCTCTGATACTGATTCACGAGAAGATTCACTATCACTGCTCGATAGACGTCTTGTGCGTCTTCGAAACCTTCACATTATATTACAATTGTCATCATTTTCTAGTTCAGTATCGTCTTCATCACCTTCGCTTTGTATTTCATTGTAATTGTCAATTTCAGGATCACTAACCAATTCTTCTTTAGATTTCTCAAAGTCAGTTTCGCTATCACTATCATAAAATATATTCCTTGTTTTTGACATAATGGGGCAGACTTGTTTTTGACATAATGGGTATCGCAAATGATGTTCACCGAAATACTGTAATTGCCCCTTCTATTATAACTGATACAAGCTGCAATGAAATGAACAGAATTATGCCTAACCTCAAATAACGTTTTAGACACGTCAGCCGCTCCTAGGGAAAGCAAGTGAATGACGTCTCTCAGGCGTCAATTGTACCCAAGAGTTTAATTTTTGGTTTGACGTCTTAGACACGTCATCCGCTCCTAGGGGGGAAAAGTGACTGACGTGTCTCAGACGTCAAATGTAACCAAGGAGTTAAATGTACTTAAGAAGGTTTAAAACATAAAAAATCAACTCATTTTTTATCCTAAAATTTATTTTTGTGCGTAGCGTATTTTCATTATATCCTTATAATTCTAATTTAGAATGTAATTGTCAAGAACTGAACCCTAATCGTCAGTAATATAATAAGTAATTATTACGGTTATTAATAAATCCTTCTTATAAAGTAATTGAAAATATTTCAAAAAACTTTCTGTCTGAATGCAAATATTCTTAATTTTATATTAATCAAGATTGCACACGATATTATTTATTTGCACTTCAATTCTTACCGTCAGTTCTAGAAGAAGATACAAATCAATTATATTTAATTAAGGATTGGATTGGATTGGATTATTTAGTTTTTGGCAAAGCACACGATGCTATCTGCCTACAGGGAGGGATGCCTTCGTGGAGGACTTTCTAAGGGAACTGACTCGTATACACGTTACACATGGGGAAAACCACGAAAACACCCATGCGGCCAGCCCGTTCACGAGATTCGAACCTCGGACCGAACTACCAGTGTTCAGCGTCTTTACCGCTCGGCCGTTGGTGGGCTATTTAATTAAGGAATGACCATCTAAGTTTAGAAACAGCGTACCGTAACAGCAATTCAATTATTGGCGCCGTATCTTTCATGTTACTCTCGATT